ACGCGCGCACGCCGGGAGGAGGTGACGTGGGAGAGCCGCCTTCTCCTGCGCCTCGACCGGCTTCATCGTTGGGTGGAGAGCTGGCTTTTCGCCCACCTCCTCGACCGAATCAACGTCGAGGAACCGGCAATACGCCCGGTCCCAAGGTGCGAAAATCCAACGCAGAACTTGCAAGCAACGCCATGAGTCCTCTCCCTCCCGCCATGCCGAGGAGCGGAACGCTCACTGCAAACATGTCTCGCATGGCCACCGACGAGAATGCCGCGTGGACTCGGTCTGCAGCAGCTGGAAGCGACGGGGAGGAGTACTCGAGCGATGCAGAGGGCCTCATGGGCAGCGAAAACGTCTCGCCTATGGACAGCCCCACCACGTCCAGACAAGCATTCTTGTCTCGCAACCCGGCACTCGTCAGTGGAACAAGCGGTGGCAGCTTTTCTGCTCGAGGATCGCTGGATTTAGCTCCGAGCAGCACGCAAGGCCCTACACCGCGTCAAACTTCCCGTCGAGAGCGCAACAGAAACGCGCCCACGGGTAGCGGTGACCAGAGCCTGGTCAACGAGCTTCAGGCGAATCTAGTCAATGAGATCAGGCGTCTCCAAGCGCTGCTACTCGAGCGCGATGGCGAAATCAGAAGATTGACAGAGGAAAAGGAAGAGACGGACAAGGAGCTGGGACAGTGGAAACCTCGAGCATTGGCTCTGATTCAGGTCGAAGGTGCGTCCAGCGGGTCTCTAACGAGTCAGACGCGCCATGTACGCGCCCAAATCCTGACACGCAGGTCTGCCTACCTTTTTTTCTGCAACATCGCTTGCGCAGACAAACTTACCCAAGAGAATTGGGATCTCAATGTTCAGCGCGACGAGCTCGAAGGCGAGCTGAAGGAGCACAGAGGCGCGCTCAAAAAGTCTGAGGACGACCGAATCAAGGTGACAAAGGACTGTGCCAAGCTGCGCGAAGAATCGGAGTCCCAAAAAGCAGATCTCGAACAGCTTCGCAAGGAACTGGACAAACTGACCCAGTCGCGCAAAACAGAGACTGCATTTGCGCGCCAGGAGATGGCTGGCATGGCGAGGCAAGTAAGCGAACTCAACCTGGCGCTCAGCAAGGCCAGAGAGGATGCAGATCGGCAAAACTTTAGCAGGAGCTTTAGTCGCAGCATGAACCTTGGCAACGAGAGTCTGGAAGCGAGCACGGACGAAGAGAATCTGCACGAGGCTGCATCGAACAAAAGACGCGCTGCTTTGGAGAGCGGCAACGTCCCAGCATCGCCCGGAAGCGCTTACGACGACGAGCTCGCCGCTGCGACCTCGCCACTGGCTGGTCGACTCAGCAAAGATAGAAACATTCCCGAACTGCGCCAAAAGCTCGCCATGGCTCAGAAAAAGTCTGGAAAGGACACGCTCGACAAGCGTCGCTTGCGAGAGCAGAACGCAGAGCTCCGACAATTGCTTCACAAGGCTGGTCTCAAGGCACCCGGAGCTAGCGAGGCGGAGAGCAGCGACGAGGATGATGCCGCGTTGTGGGACGATGAGTCCGTCGAGCACAGCCCCTCGGCCAAGCGTGGCAAAGCGCGAGGCTTGCCCAAGAGCAGCACAGGTCGCAACATTGCATCTCGTCTTGGTATCGGTCTGGGACGTCCTTCCAGATCTGCACATGACCAGACTGTCCATGACGAAGATGAGGCCGAGCAAGTGGACGAAGAAGTGGCGGAGATGCCAGCAACGTCGAGCTCCGCGCTCAGACGAAGCGCTCGTCGTGCCAATGTTCCTCGAAATGTCAGCTTTGGTGCGGGAAGCCCTCTGGTCCAAACTGCGTACTTGCCTGGCGAAGACGAGCACGATGCTTCTTCGACTGGCCACTCAACAGAACAATGGCACGGCACAGAACGAGCAGACACGTCCGTCGTCGATCCCCTTCCGCGTCCTCCATCCATGGTCCTCGCCGGCGAGACGCTCGGAGACGAGCTCGAAGGCTTGGGTGACGATGCTGTTCGCGCTAGCGGGACCTCCTTCATCGGCGATGAATCTCTTGCTCGCGACCTAGCTTCTGCTCAGCAAGTCACACGTTCCGTCAGCGGACCGTTGCCTCCTGCTGCGGACGACAAGAACATGCAGACTGACGCGCAGTCCAGCGCGTTGGCCGACGAACTCGCAAAGAAGGAACGCGAACACGCTGCAGTGGTGGAGGAGCACACGAAGACGCTCTCTGCTATCCGCGACGCGCATGCTCAGGCCCTCGAGCAGCGCGATTTGGCCCTCGAAAAGCGCGATCGAGATCATGCAGCTGCTGTGGCGGAGCAACTCGCTGCCCTTGCAGCTCTTCGCGAGGAACACGCCAATACGCTCAATCAGCGCGACACGGACCACAGCAAGCTCTTGTCGGATCGTGGAGATGCGCACAAGAGTGCATTGAGCGAGCTGGTCGCTCAGCACGCCAAGGCGCTCGACGAGCGCGAAGCGGCTGCCGAGCGCGCTGTCGCTGACAAGGAAGAAGAGCACGTCAAAGTCCTGTCTGCTGCGTTGGCCAAGCAGAATGAGACCCACAAGGTGGCATCTGAAGGAGCGCGCACTCGACATGCCCAGGCGCTCGCAGAGGAAGTCGCCAAGGGCGCCCTGGCGCTCAAGGCTGCCGAAGAAGCCCACCGCAAGCTGGTTTCGGAAACGAAAGACTCTCACAAACGCGCGATTGACCGGCTTGAAGTGGATCACGACAAGGCGCTCAAGAGCAAGGATGGCAAGCATGCCAGCGAGATCGAGGACCTCCATTTGTCTCACGATGCCTATGTGCGAGACCTTGAGCAGGCATTCAATCGGAATCTTCGAGAGCGCGACGAGATCATTCGCAAGAGTCGCGAGGAAGTCGAGAAGATGCGCGAGCGCTTGTCGACGCTCGAGAACGAGCTCGAACGATTGCGCAGAGAAATTCAGGCTAGCGGTGCAGCTGTTTTGGCAGCCGAGAGCGCCAAGCGCGAGCTTGAATGTTCAGCTGAGGAGACCAAGGCGGAGCTTGAAGAGGCACGGGCGATCATCGCCACTCACAATGAAAAAGAAGACGATGCATTTGAAGATGCCTCCGAGGCTCCTTCGCTCAGCCCCAATCGTACCGCGCTCGAGATGGACGACGGCAAGCATGACGCAGCTGTCGCCATGGACAGGAGCGGCACGGAACAGTCCACGCAGACCCAGAGCGAGGTCGACTCGCCCCCCACGCCTGCCGACATTGAAGCTTTCCCATCTCCGCCTGCTGCAAAGGCTCGCGAACTCAAAGAGTCTGCTGCACAAACGGATCACGAGATGTGGGCAAGGGTTCAAGAGACGCAACTCACACGAGCTGGTCTTCCCATTCCCAACAACGTCTTGATGCTCGGCGGCGGTGCTGCCAATCAGCACGTGCGCGATTCCGTCTCCACCTTTGGCGGCAATCGAGATGGCACCCGCATCGATCCGACATCCTCCACGATGATGTACACTGTGGGTGCTTTGACGCGTCAACAAGCTGCAGCTAGCGTTAGCAGTCGCCGTCCATCCATGGACTCGACCATCTCAACCGATGCTCGCTTTGCTAACCCCAACGAAGTCGCGTTGGGCCAGATCCCCGATCGCAGCAAGCCTCCAGTGATGGATGTGCCTCCCCCACCGAGCATGCCTCCTCCTGCGAACCTTCCTAATCGTCCCACTCCTCGAGGACGTACGTCCACTTCCAACAGTGCACAAGACAAGCCCCCAGCTCGCCCTACGTCGCCCCCTCCAGCCGAGCTGGTTGCTGCTGCTGGACGGCGAGGCAGTACTCTTCAAGTTCCGCCCGGAGAACGCGATGCCCTACCGGCCCGCTCCGCAAGCCGTGCTTCGGGTCACAGCGGAGCAGCTTCGAGCAATGCGATATCTAGTACGGACTCGACAAGCAGAGGGCCGCCCAACGGCCTTCATTCGCGCATCGCTTCCAACCAGCACTCGGCGCCCGGTGATGCGGCGAGCGTGGCCAGTCGCCGAAGCCGCGTGTCGGCGTCAAACTTGGCTCAGCAGCATTTGCGGGCACCATCAGGAGGATCTTTCCGCTCAGACGTGACGTCGATGCTTAGTCCGCGGATGTCCATCGCTTCGTCCAGAGCCTCGGAATACGTCGATGCTCGGAACCCAAGTACTGGTGCAACAGGTGCAAGCAGCACCAAGGGCATGCCTCCCGGTACGGACCCAGAGGTCATCGCCGCCATCACTCAAACGATGATTGGCAACTATATGCACAAGTACGTTCGTCGTGGACTAGGCAGGACGGGTCTATCAGACAAGCGCCATCAGAGGTACTTTTGGCTGCATCCCTACACCAAGATGCTGAGCTGGACAATGACCGATCCCGGAGGTAAAGGAGTGCAGGAAAGCACCTACAAGAGCGCAGTCATTGAGGACATCCAAGTGGTTGAGGACAACAATCCAAGTCCGCCTGGACTGTATCACCTCAGCATCATCGTCAAGACTCCTGCTAGGGACATGAAGATTACCGCTCCTAATCGCGAGCGACACGAAATGTGGGTCTCTGCTCTGGGCTACTTGACCAGTCGAACGCAGCTGCAGGCCAACGCTGGTCTTGGTCGGGTGCAGAACGGAAGGGGCGGCGCGTCCACGCTCGCCATGCAGCCTAACCGCGCAGACGAGGCGGATCCTGATCGGCCGGCTTCTAGACGCGAGCGAGTCAGCTCGAGCCGGCCTGCTTCGATCACTTCTCGCCGTCTGCTCTCTCCTAGACGCAGCATGGCCTCGCTTGGCGCGGGAGCTCGTGCGCGCTCGGAAAATATCCTCGACACGGGGGACAACACCGAGACCACCCCTCGACCCCGCGCTGGTACGATTGGTGCTTCGTCCATTCTCAGCAACAAGCGACGCGATACGGCAGCTCACGAATACCTCTCGCAGTGGGGCGAGGTGGGGAGGAACAATGGTCCATCTAGTCCGTCTAGCTACGGCAAGTCATCCCGCAAGAGTTTTGGCCACTCGCGCAATCTCGCATCTGATCTTTACGGAGAAAGCTCTCAGTACAGACCATCTTCGCGCACGAGTTACGCAGCGCCTGCGGATCCTCGTCTGCAGACTGCCGAGCAGATGCTGGAGGAGGATCAAGAGCGTGGAGGGTATGATGGGCTGGAAAATGTCCGAGCCTGCTGCAACGGAGCTCACGATGTGGGCGAGCTTGCGCATCGCAAGTACAAGGAAGACTTGCGCAAGAAGAGGGAGAAGGAGTATCGCGACCTTGCGCGCACGCATAGGGAAGCTAGCAGTACGGCCAGTATCCGCTCTCGACACTCTAGGCAGGGCAGTCAAGGAAGCTCGGTTGCAGGTGGAGGCATCAAGAGCTGGAGAGACACGCTGAAACGAGCTCCTAGCGGCACCTCCACAGTAGCATCGCGCAACGAGCCTGCCACCAGCAGCTCTCCGCCCCAGCTGGGACCTTTGAATCTGAACACGCCGCTGGAAAAACGCGGCAAGCAGACTTCGAGCAGCCAGGGCAGCAAGAGTCCAGGCATCTTTTCCGCCATGACGGGTCAAAACGCTGCGCCTCGCTCTAGCGTCAACAGTAGCGCCGAGCAGCCCATGTCTGCCAGGACCTCCAACTCGGCGGAATGGTACTCTAGCCCGGAAGATTTGGCCGCCTTCATCGAGATTGGCGAGCCTCAAGTTGATGCGTCGGCCAAGACGACAGAGTTGGGATCGAGCGCTGGCAGCGCTACGCCCAACGCCAGAGAGACCAACACGTTTTCCCAAAGAGTCAGCGCAATCAGAAAGAGCGCTGGCACATCTTCCAAGGCGTAATCCAGCTACCGCATCTCGACCCTCAAAGGGGAAAGGCTGCTGCAACGATTGTTTGCCGGTCACCGTGTTTGAGAAGCACTCTCATCTATATGTCTGTTCGTTCTTCATCTTCTCGTGACTACACCAACTGCTCGTTTGTCCTTTCTCCCTCTCCACAATCGTTCACCTTCCCTTTTTTTCTTCTTCTTCTTCTTCTACACGCACACTCGAGTAGGTTCATCCCCCTTCCCTTTCTCTACACTTTGTGACGATGATCAAGCTCTCAACATTGCCACGCGCTGACAAAACATGCCCTACGCCATCTGTCAAGCGGTGTGATTGCGCTTTCAAGTACGGTCTTGAGGGAGTGCGTGCGGGGTGCGAGGAGCAAAGAGCGTGTCTGACTGCTACGCTGACGGGGGCAAGAGCGAGCGCACGTGCTAGATGTGCACC